CGGTGACATGGATAAGTTGGAGCGTGTACAACGTGCTGCCACTAGACTCGTTGGAATACGCTGGACCAGCTATGAAGGTCGTCTACAAGCTAGTGGTCTGTTCCCAATTGCATATCGACGCCTCAAGAGAGATCTCATCTGCCTGAGGAAGATCCTGAGAGGTTATATGAGACCGGAGCTGCAACAGTACTTCCCTTTACGGACAGAGCACCGCACAGGGGGCACTCTCTCACATTGTAAATACTTCAGTCAGTCGATCTTCCGTTAGTCTACCGACTCTCACGTAGGTCAACAACACTCTGGAATTCTCTTCCAGCGATTCGGGTGGAAGAGAAGACAGACGCTGCTTCAAACGACGTCTGGATGAGCACCTGANGAAGGGGCTATGGAGAAACAAAAACTTGTGATAGGACCTTCGACTCAGTGGTGATGGGGCTTACACGGGTACCCTGCCCTCTGCCCTCAATCATGAAGACTGATGTAAACGTTTTTTCAGATGCCGTACATAGGCACAACTTTTTTTGGATTCAATCGGCTGGATGCGAAGAGAATAATTCAACGTTTCGTTCAAATCTTTGATGAACACCACTGTTTTTTACCTTTTGTTCTCCTTTGGAATGATAAATAAGCTATGTTCATGATGCACCTTTTTCTACCGAGAATTTATTCGATCGATTCAAAGACAATCATTGTCTTATCCGGGGCGTAGACTGCTGGGTGTAAAAGGGTAGTGGCGAGGCATTCCAACTATAAGGATTTCTAAAAACGCTCTATTTTGAATGTATTTTAAAAAAGCGATGTCGAATTTAGCCGAAATGGAACAGATTTTGCTTTTGGCTGATTCTAAGTACTTTGTTAAAATTGAATTTGTTTTAATCAATCCGAATTAATTTTGTACTGGAAGTATAAATTCCGCAACCTAATGACGACGATCACTTCCACGCTTATATCAACCACGGCTCATGTTGACGATACTGTCGTTTTTGAAAAAATGGTAAAAAATTGCCATGGATCGCTGGACGGATTGTTTGAGGACGTCCGTGAAGTTCAAAGGGTTACCAGCACTTTCATCTACGTTTATGCGTCAATAACAGCCAAATAACTGATACAGGAAAGAAAGTTTGGACGGAAATTGACTCTGACTGAGGGTTTTCCGTACTATTTCATCAAATTATTGCTGTGTATACCGCAGAAGCCGCGGCGCAACTGAAACCAGGTAATTATGCCTTTCATTTCTAATTTATTTAAACCATTTTAGGCTGCAAAATATGGATTGTCCGACATTCGTTGAAATTCGCGCTCTCGGGACGGAATACCGAGTGATGAAACGTTGTTTGGTGCACAATCATGACTTCCATGTGGGTCAGCGAGGTCTGTATATAGGTAATCGTCGTCTATATGGAGAACAGGATGAGGAAGTGTGTACTTTGATGGACAATTTTAAAAGTACTCGCGAGCTAAGGGATTTTGCCACACACAGGTTCAAGAGACCCTTAATTACGACATATATTAGATCCATACGTCCAAGAAGGTCTCAGTCGGAAACACGTGACGATGCGGTGAAAGTTAGGGATATGCTGAAGAATCAGGGAGAGGTTAGGATAAGCCTGGACGAAAGCGTCGTTCGTCACATTTATTTTGTTCCTAAGATTATGTTGCACTGCGTCGCCAGGTTTATTGATGTTCTTTTAGCGGACACCACACATCAGCTAAACTGTGGAGGGTACGTGCTTTGGCATGCTATGCTTGTAGACGACACCGGTTTTGGTAGAAGTTTTTTCTACGTCATCTTGCCAAACGATAGCGGTGCGAGCTATAGACCTGCTGTGAGAGCCATGAAATCTATATGCCCAGTCTTTGCACAATGTCAGACTATATTAGTTGATAGTAGCTGGACTCAGTACAATGCGCTTTCAAAATAATTTCCATCCTCTAATGTGATATTTTGTCGTTTCCATCTCGTTAGGAGTGTGAAGAAGAAATATAACCAACTATCTGATATGCCAACGTTTGAAAAACTGAGCATCTTTCAATGAATGCGCCACATGGTGTACTGTGATAGTGAGGTATCGTTTCGTAGATTCCTAGCTACCGTATAAAGTCGTATCACAGAAGCAGATATTTATTTACGCCGAACTTGGTTACCATACCGAGAGCAGTGGGCAGGATATGCCGTGAGGACTATGTTGACTTTGACCTAACTACCAACTGAATGGAGACGGAAAATAGACCTCCCAAGACAGGCTTGTCTCCTGGGTCTTCATTAGTGGATGTATTTAAGAAAGTGCCACTACAACACGTCACTGCAAGTGACCCATGGAATTCGCCTTGCGTAAAATTTCATGAGGGGTATCCGACACCCAGCGGCATGCAGTCGTTTAAAACCGTTGCTCATACGAGTAACACCATTTGCGCGGAATATATTATTAAGTAACTGGATATCATGTAAGATTAAACGAATTGTTCACGATAGGGGGTTCTTCATGGTTGTGGATAGTAAAGGGCAAGGGTTCCAAATTAGTTACTG